CACACACACACACACACACACACACACACACACACACACACACACACACACAAAAGTGGTTAATTAATTTCTTAACATTTATATTTTACTTAAATATATAATTAATAAGTATATTTAATTAAAAATATATTTGTTAATAATTATAATTAATAAATATATTTAATTAAATAAATATCATCAATTAATAATTGTATTTAATTATTTTAGATACAGCACACACACACAAAACTTCTTTCAAATCAAATTAATTGTAGATGTAAATACTTTAAGACTTTCTTAGAAAAGTATAACTTTTGTTTATAATACTTTCTAATGCATATTTTCTAATAAAAAAATTATCTTTTAAATTTCAACAACACGTGTGTTAAATACACAATTATCTGAATAAATTATGCATCCGGTTGAGAAAGAATAATTAAATTAATTTCAATCGATTAAAAGTTTAATATTATATTCAAACATATTCTCTTACTTCAAGATTGATTTTTAATCGAAAAATCGTACTTTGTTCTGAATGTGAACTGAACTCGTTCGTCCTTCATTGAATTTTTCTCTTCAAGTTACTATTAACGGGCTTGAAAAAATATTTTTCTTCGTTAAGGTGGAGCAAATTCCTTTTCCTGGGCATAAAAAAGTTATATATAATTAAAGTAAATTACAGTAAGTGTGTCCGCATGGACGCATATGCAGGCACGCGCACGTGTTATGCGACATTATTGAGGGCACATGCCGTAATAACTGTTCAAAGGCGTCGCAGCTTACTTTCGTTATCAAATAAATGCGAGAGGATGCACCTGACTCGTCAAGCAAATGACAATCTTAAGAAAGCGCCACGATTCGAATTGCATCACAAGTCGTACGCGGAACTTTAATCGCAAATCCGTTATTTCTTTTCTTTCGTATGTCAATGAAAGTTCTCGTCATTATATGAAAATAAATACTGCTGAATTTTATTGAGATGCGAGTTCGATAAAACGTTAACTCTTCGGCATGAATGACGGAGAAGAAAATCCCCGCCCAAGCATGTGTGTGGCATAAAAAGAATGTAGTTGCGGCATTGATGACGATGTCACGGAAATTCCACGCTGATTACTGTATTTTTCAAGATGATTTATGACCGTATGTAGGCAAATTTTATATTACGCACCTTGCTGATTCGCGATAAGAGAAATTATTCGTACAATTGACCAAACGATTTTAGAATACACATAATTATCGAGAAAATTGATAGTAACGTCGATCGCGGAAAGCAATCGTTCCGAGACGTTTTGTGAATCAAAGTATTTTACAACAAACGAGTCTAACGGTAGTATTTCTTACAGTAGTGATCACTTATTATACAACGTAAAGGCAATTCATAATCAAGGAATTCGTTAATATTATGCTCGCGAAGAAAGTGAGATCGTAAGCTGCAAGAAAATCACTCTACGTCGTCAGATGATTATACAAACTCTTATAGTATCTGATTGCTTTAATGCACGTTACTACGACTTTGTATAAAACACACACACATACATTCCTTCGGTAATATACTTTTACGAGATGTAAGAAAGAAGAAAAATCATCTGTGCGCTTGTGTGATTGATTACAGTTAATATCCAAGCAAAGAAAAGGTACATTTTAGTTCTCGATAGAGAATCAAGCAGATGTACTCTCCGACCTAAGAAAGTACACGTGCTGCATGATGCATCCAGTTATCTGTGTATCAAGTAATTATAGAGTTTTTTGTCGCCACATATCGAACGTCACATCCAAAAAAAAGTCACTGAGAAAAAAGTTGTTTAAAAACTAATAAATTATTCAATTAAATGTAGCAGTATCAATAATTTAAACAAATATATATTAATTTAACGCGGCGTCATTGTGGTTGGATCATAATGACCCGAGACATTATTAAACATCTTGTATTCTCTTACATACTTCGTAAATTTTAATTAACTGTAGCTAGAGCTAAGATTTTCTAAAATCATTGTTGACATTGCGACAATAGATCAAAAAAATATTCGGATTATCATGATCCACCTCAACGTCCATGTAACATTTTAGCACCACAATGACGCCGGGTCAAACAAATAACATGTTAACATTTTTCACGTATATTTAATTTAAATGTATAAACACTTGAATAATCACTAAATATTTAGTCAAGTTAACAACTTTTTTATTGCATTAGTATCAAATTATTAAAATTGCTTGTCAATTTAATTCGTGATATTGCGTGATATTATAATAGTAGTTTAATTGTATTTATAAGTGATCGAAAAACCAATTCGGCGCGCAGTTCGAATGATTGACAAATATGATATACATGCATATACATATATAGTATATAATAATTCAGACTAAATTATTCAGTATTTCGATTTCTTGTTTGTTGTTTTTAACAACTTTGTATCTCAGTATAAAGGTTATTGATTTTAAAAACTGCGCTCGAAATTAATCGCTGCGTTGCTGCAAGTGCAAATTGGTTCTTATTAACGCACCGGAACGGAGAAGCGAATGGGATTATAAGACGAGTATCGTACAACTGCGTACGCGTGTTGTGAGGGACCGCATTTTTCCACGGTGAGAACGAGTTCTCAGTTGCATGTAGTCTTTAACGAGACGGCGACTTTTCCTTTCTGCAACAAGCGCGCGGGTTGCGAAATTCACGCGCGGGCTTGAGCGAGTCGCACGATGTCGCCGTTCATTGTTTTTTGTAATGGATTTTGTTTTTGTGGAAGTCGCGAATCACGAAATCAGAGAACGGATATTGTTTCCGCATCTTGATCAGAGAGGGACGGCGATGTAAGAGAAGAGCAACGCCGAATTGATAATGCGAGACCGAGACCGGAAAATACGCTACGCTGTTTATAAAATGTGACGGATCGAATCGATCATCACAAAGGGAATCAAATCGACTGATTTCGAAATAAATGCACCAGCAAATGCCAATCGCTTACCGAATTGCTAGATCATAAAGAACGTGAGTTTTCAATTCATAAGTATATTTGGCAATTTCCGTGTCTCTTATTCGATCTTGTTACAATGAAATTGCAACAGTAACAAGAATAGTCTTTCTCAACGGGTATTAAATTTTTAGCGTTATGGTTCTAATTTGCCAGTCAAAGTTATTTCTTCATAGTAAATAATTAGTTACAGCATTATAATAGTTGTTTCTTTATCAGAAATGACAAAGGGGTGTGTCTCTCTCTCTCTCTCTCTCTCTCTCTCTCTCTCCCCCTCCCTCCCTCCCTCTCTCTCTTATTTTTGAAGTGATTTCTTTTTGGGAATATCAACAAAGATTTTACTGTATTATAATTTTTCATCTTTTTTAATGACATTATATGTGATTAAAAATCTGATAATTAAATGTTATTTGTGCGTGTGCGTGTGTGCGTGTGTGCGTGCGTGCATGCGTGCGTGCGTGCGTGTGTGTGTGTGCGCGCGCGTGCGTGCGTGTGCGTGCGTGTGTGTGTGTGTGTGTGTGTGTGTGTGTGTGTGTGTGTGTTCAAGTTCAACTGAATCATCTTCAAATTTAAAAAAAAGTCTTTATCATCGCTAAGACTATTGACGTCTTGATATTTTCATCCAAAAGAAATCTATTCAACTTTGTTCAAAGAATTTATAATTAGCGGAATACTTATTTGACATACCTTGAAAAATATTACTATAATGCAAATAGCTAATCAATAATTAGCTTTTCATAATATTGTTACTGCAGAATCATTATATGTTTAATGTCGGCTTTTATGCCATAGAAACGAAAGTCAAATATTGACATATTTAATACACCAAAGTGTCGTCCGGTGAGCATTGTACAACATTGAGATGGAATCATTTACATGCAATATTCACAGAGCATGTGCATAATTAGATGATATTACTCGCAATAATCATTTTGAAATACTATGCTATAAAATAATGATCGTCAAAACGATAACAACTCTTATATAACCAAAAATGAATATAATGAAGCATTCTCAACTTCCATGAATTATTTCCATTTCTTTTCTTTTTTCCTACGCAAATAGATTTTTTTCCGTTCTATTTCTATGGCAAAAAATTTTTTGCAAAAATTATAGAATTTTCTACATTCCTCCATGTATAATTTATGCATGTTTCTGGATCACTTGAATAAAAGAGTCACGTTTTTTACAAAATTTGTCTTCCAACTGCCGCAACGAATTATAAAAGTCAAGTACAACGCCTTTGACGTCAGCATTTTCTCAAGGCTGAAAAATAAGATCCTTAATCGCTACTGGCAAGAGTTAAGATTTGCGAGGATAAGGGGGGAGAGCAACGCAAAGCCACAAAGACGGGTTTCCGCATGGAAAAACTTCTGGTGCTTTTCCGATCTACTTTGATCAGTGAAAGGATCATTGGTTTAACCTTCCGAGGAGGAATGTGACGATTCATAGATCCTCGAAACTTCATCTAGCGTACCGTAGATTGAGATCAAGTCGCGTGCATCGCGATTCAAATCGAGAATACGTCAAGGTGCACAATCCGTTTTCATTGCGTGTTTCATGATATATCTCGAAGGAATAACACTTACCAAAAAAAATCATAACTGTGTAATTAATTTTTATTGTAAGTTTCGATTTACTATTCTTTCTATAATATGGATAGAAAAGAACAACTAATTTTATCAGATTTTCGATCAAATGTTTCGAACGCAACTAATTAAAAAAATTTTTCTTTTACCAAGTATTTATTTTTCAAAGATTATTCAAATTGACATTTTTAATATCAATTAATTTTGACATTAATCCAAATTAATTAATTAATTAATTAATTTTTCACAATTTGTATTACTGTTCTTCAAATCATGAACAAAAGTATTTCTTCATTACATTTGATTTAATTATATTTATATAATCATGTTAAGATAAACTTTGCGTCTTTATACAATACATTTTATATTTTTAATACTTGTTGAAGAAGGACCTGTGATCACGAAACGTACTGTTAGATTTTAATAAATGTACTGATTATAAATTTATTTCTATATCTTTTTATGAGCTCGATTATTGACTTAATTTTCGTATAATTTGCTTTGCATAATACGAGCAAATTCTTACTTTTCTTTTTATATCATTAAGTATGATCAATAAAAAATTTAAGAACAGAATTTAATTGAAACCGTTGCGAGCACGCAGATATTTCCTCTCTTTCTTTCTTTTTTTGATTTAATACAATTTACAAAATTTGTAATTTAAAATTAGATGCATATAGCGCTTCTCTTATATTTGAATTCTTATTTTAATTATTTGATTACAATCAGTTTTTCTAAAATTTAATATTCGAAACATTTTAGATCTGCTTTAATTATCTATAGTAAACATTACATTTGACAAAACAACTCATCGACGACTATCAATCATATAATATAAAGAAATATATACTCTAATGTTTGTATATTTCCTAGTTTGCAACATGCGTTGCGCGTGTTATTTAAACCATACACTTAAATCGTGTTGCTCAAGCAATAAATACAGTCGTTTATCTCGAACGATATCTATAATAATCGACCGTAATTTCTTATATAATAATGTCAATTGAACTATAACAACACTATTTTTCTTTAGCATAAAACATCATTAATTTTGTAACTAGACAGAATGATATAAAGCGCATTATACCATAATTACAAATGACTTTGCTGTAATAAGATTGAACTAACATAACAGTGACAAAAGTGCTACTTTGATTTTAGATGGCGCAATTAATTCAAATGATTTACGATGGTTACCAAGATCTGATGGTCAACAAAAGCGATCCGAGAATCAATGATTGGCCAATGATGAGCGATCCGTTCTCCACATTAGCGATTTGCTTGTTCTACGCTTATTTCGTTAAAGTTTTGGGGCCAAAAATGATGGAAAATCGAAAACCTTTTGATCTCAGAAGAGTGATGATATGGTACAATCTATTTCAAGTAATATTCTCCACATGGTTGTTCAACGAAGTAAGTTATCCAGCAAGTCTATTCATGCAAAAAACAACTCATCAAGATATTTTATTATGTTTTCTCTCATATGCACAGAGTCTGGTCGGAGGCTGGGGAGGACGATATTCCTTCAGGTGTCAGCCGGTTGATTATTCAAATGACCCGATTGCACTACGAATGGCACGAGCTTGCTGGTGGTATTACATCTCAAAGTTCATTGAGTTCACGGACACAATTTTCTTTGTGTTGAGAAAAAAGAATGACCACATTACCACTCTCCATGTCATCCATCACGGCTGCATGCCCATGTCAGTTTGGTTCGGAGTTAAATTTACCCCTGGTAAATATATGCAATTTCTATCTTTTATTTACAAAACATAATCGATTAATATTAATCTTCTTCAAATTTTCGGATTTATGTGTGAAATTTTATTTTATTGTCAATATAAAAAAATCATATTTTATTCTGCAAATATGTAAAATGTAAATTAAAACTTAGCAATATTAATTTGGCATTTATTATAATTATTATAATTAAAAAATTGTTTATCCTTTTGTCACTATACTGATTGCCCAAGCAATACAGTTACATTATTAAAAAAACATTTAATAAATACTAGAAATTATATAATAAACCTATAAAAAGAAAAATAAATATTTAAAATTTAATACGGTTTTGTACTAACTATTTAATAATCATTATAAAACCGTTTATAAGATGTTTGTAATATTTAAAATATCGTTGTTATATAAGACATTTCAGTTTAATAAAAGTATATTTAATATTAATAATATCTACTTAACGATTTTATTTTTTATTATAAAAATTGTTTTGATAAAACATATGTTTTTTAAACATAAATTATGCTTAAATACCTGGTAAGAAATGTTTCATGCATATCAAGCAATTTACATTTAAAAAACGTTTAATTAAAACTTTTTTTGTCGTAAAAACATTAAACACGTTAAATATACGTATCAGTTAATATACCTATCAATGTACCTATTGAAGTTAAATATAATAAAATATAAGTATTTAATAATCTATTAAATTATCTCGCATAAAAACGATTTAAATAATTAAACATTTTTTAAACGTAAATTATCTGTTTAAGTTGCTAATTCCTAAAAATGTAACAAAGCAGGTATTTTTAACTTTGAAAGAAAAGAATTAAGTAAAAAACGAACTTTTTATGGTAAAAAAAAAATATTTTTAATCAAACGTAAAATTTATGAAAAACATAAAGAATTCATGTTAAATACATAGAAAGGATATAGAAATTAGTTTTTTTTTATATTTATTATTAAAATGTTTTATACCTTTGTTATTTCAATTTGTTATTTAATATTTTTTTATCTTTATAATTTTATATTAAGGAAATGTATTGTTGCAAGAGTTAATAAGTTGTTAATAATGTTTTTTTTAAATTAGCTTAAAAATGAACCTTAGTCTGCGCAATGCACACATGCCGGAGATATAATAATCTCATTTCTCATCATGCATCTTGAAAATTTTATAGAAGAGAATGATGCATAGACTTTTCTGTAGTTTGATGTCTCGTTTTAAATTAATTATAGATAGCTCGGTGAACATTGTCTCACTAATTTCAATTTAGAATGTGTACAATTAGAGTCCATATACACAAAAACGGTGTCAATTATTCCAATAAATTATTCTAATTTGTGTTAATAACAGTATGGAACTTATTTAATATTGGAAATTGAAGTACAATATAAAATAGCGTTCAAATAATTGTGAACGGTAGAGTTTATTGACACTTATAATCATTATACTATTGATCTGTTTTCTGTTACTGCACTAGCACTCTCTTTCTCACTTTCAACAAATATCAAGCATATACCTCACTTCAAGTTCCAAAAGTGTACATTAGTTCAGCCACAGAAAACACATCTTATATTTTGACATTTATGACTATTTCTACATAAAAATATGAATGAATGTATTAAATTCTAAAATTATAATACAGTATTAAAATTATTGAATGCTCAAGAAAATACATTCCAGTAAACAACTTTCAAGGCTGAAAGAAAAAACCGGTTTTTACTATCATTAGAGAAAACGAAAACAATATTTTAAATAGATTATCCAAACAGGCAAGTTATATTAAAAAAATATTTAATCAAAGCGATTTTTATAGAAAAATCATTAAATAGACGTTATTATTAAATAAACATTAAATATTTACTTTTATTAAATTAAACCGTCTTACATAATAACGATATTTTAAACATTATAAACATTTTATAAGTTTTTCTATTTTTATTACGTTTTTAAAATGATTTTAATATTATATTAAATTTTAAACATTTATTTTTTAAACAATATGATTAGAAACAAGACCGTCTATATAAATATTAAGACTTTAAATACAAAGCGCCTTCCCGGTCCGAGTGTTAAGATGTTGAACTACTATCTAATATACATTCAATTAAATTGAATTAATATTTCAGAAATAAATTGAGAGCCGATGAAATTATCGGATTCACACAATCAATCTGAAACAAATAATCCCCCCAAATTCTCCCAAATCTTAAAAAACTGTAATAAACTATAAATATTAATTCAATTTAATTGAATGTATATTATATAGTAGTTCAACATCTTAACACTCGGACCGGGAAGGCGCTTTGTATTTAAAGTCTTAATATTTATTTTTTAATTTATATGTTTACTAAACAATTTTTTACGTTTATTAAATGTATTTTTTTATTAAATATGTATATTTTTTTATTAATTATATTGGTTGGGAATAGATTTTAGAAGATATTATATATATTCAATTCGTGATAAAATTAGCAACAAACAGTATTATCTCTCTGATCGTAACATGGTCTTTATTTCTTGCAGGTGGTCACAGCACTTTCTTCGGTTTTCTGAATACCTTTGTACACATCGTAATGTATTCGTATTATCTTCTGGCGGCGCTCGGACCACAGATACAGCCATATCTGTGGTGGAAGAAATATTTGACCACTTTGCAAATGATCCAGTTCGTCCTTGTAATGATTCATGCATTCCAATTACTTTTCATCGATTGCAATTACCCAAAGGCCTTCGTCTGGTGGATAGGCATGCACGCTATAATGTTCTATTTCCTCTTCCGCGACTTCTATAATGAAGCGTACAAGAAGAAGAAGAATACAAAGAATGCTGTAGGCAAACAAGAAGATGAAAAGGAGCAGAACGTATCTACAGATCAAGGAGACATCAAGGAGAACGGCAATGAAAAGGGTGTGATATATGCAAACCAGTATAAAATGGCCACTGGTTATATCTCGGACAGCGGCCTCAGAAATCGCGTGTTCATCGACAATCGAGGCTTTGATGAATAATGAGAGCTTCTAATTTTAAAGAAATTTCAATTATTATACGTCGAGCGTACATTCGATTGCGAATTATCATTATTTAAAGCACTTTGCCACATTGCACCACAGTCGCTGTCCTCACGGTGCGATCGAATAAAAGCGGCAAATAGACAGAGGATATTAAAAAAAGAAATGAAAAATGAGAAGTCTGGTTTAATGGCATTCTTTCTGTGCTTCGCAGCGAAGTTTTTTTACGTGTAAAGATTTTCTTACGCTTTTTATGATATTATATGTGTGAACAAGTATATGATGCGAATGTGTGTTTACTAATTTGTGTGCGTTTGCTAGTTTGACGAGAAGCAAAAACAGAGACTAGATAAAGCGTTGAAATTGCCAAAATGATAAAAAAAATGTGTTACTCTTCTCGGTTAAGATACCGAAATGAAACTCATTTTCAGATAGATTGCCCTTTCCGGAAAGAGGAAACTTTTAAAAAGATGATTTTTGTGAATATTTGTATAGACTTCTCAAGAATTATAATTCTGCGTTTTGCTCATATTTCCTTCTTTTAAAAATAGAATAGTAACGAACTCTTGCCGTATTTCATATCAAAAGAATAAAGAAGAAAATACAATATTTATTTTATAGAAACAGAATATTTACCCCTACAGCACAAAACAAAGTTACACAAAAATTGCAACACTGCTGCAATATTGTATGCTGCAAAGATTTTGTAACGATATTCTGCAATTTCTGTGCTGTACGGATAGTAAGAAATTATTATCATTATTTTAACATTTCCAAAGCATTATTATAATTAAAATATTGCTGTGAATTGTCTAACCTCTAACCAACAATATGACACAAAATCCCAATAAGGCAGAAATAGAGAATTTAATTAAAAGAATTTACATGCATATTTACTGTCTGAAACAACTATTAATTTATTATTATTTTGCAGAATTAAATTTTTAGAATCAAAAATATTTTATTTTCTTCTAAAATTTTATTCTCTTAGAGAGCACTCTGTTTTTACTTTACATATTCCATTAAATATTCTAATTAATACTTTTATAAATACATAAACACATGTGATAAAATACATATGTATATGTACATATATTAATTTTAGAATTACTTATGTTAACATTATTCTTTTTTTTACATAAAAAGCAATATTTAATGTAAAATCTAAAATTTTTTCTCATCACGTTTTTTAAATTATAAATAACAAATTACAAATAATAAGAATCTTATTTTAGACTTATTTGTACATGTAAGAACACAATCGATAAAGAAGCTTATACCGGTCGAAGTTGGATCTTTAATCCGTTTTAATAATAGTTATATGAACTGCTCGCCAAAATAATTTTTTGAACTTATAAACGCAATCAAACTATCACAGTAATATCACAAATTAAATTAATAAGCAATTTAATAATTTGATGTTCAATCTGACATCCTATTAGAAAGATGTTAATGTACTAAAAAAACTATAAATAAATTTATTGCGAGAAAAATATTCTCTCGACCGGAAATCGAACCCGAATTACTTATATTCCGTACGAGCATCCTAAGCCTTTACTACCGAGGCTGATACCTCAGCAGGGAATAGTTAGTGCTTCAGTAGTCTAAAACCTTAGAAATACAAGAGATCCGAGTTCGACTTCCGGCCGAGGTAATATTTTTTGCAATAAATTTATTTTACATTAACATTTTTCTAATAAGATGTCAGATTGAGCATCAAATTGCTTATCAATTTAATTTATCATATTACTACAGTAGTTTGATTGCGTTTATAAGTTCGAAAAATCATTTCGGAGCGCAATTCAAATAATTATATATTTAGTACATAAATTCACATAAAAATTATTTAAAAAACATTAAAAATCCAGCTTCGACCGGTAGGCTTCCAGTTTCAATCAAATTATAAATGATTTTTTTTAACTTTTACAGAAATCTACATTAATTTTTATGGTTTTCTTTCAACAACTTAATATGAAAATTTATAATTATTGTTTAAATAATTTTGCTGGGATATAAAATTATTCAAGTTTCAAAAAAGTAATGCTATCTAATTTTTAATATCTAAAACTTTTTTCTATCAAAATAAAACTTTAATGATAAATTAAATTTTCTTATATTATTAATATAAAAATACATGTTCATGTTTTAGATTGAATCATTTTTCGATATATTCTACATAATCTCATTTATCGTAAATATTGTATTATAATGTTGCAATATTAAAATATTATAACACAATTGAATCCCGCTCGAATTTAATATTTAAAATAATATCTTAAAATACACGTATATATATATATATCTTTAGCATTTAAAATATTCTTCTTGAATCTCGAATTCTCAACTGTTGATATTTTTTAAAATTTTCTGTTCGATCATCTGTAGATCAAAATGAATCGACTGTAGCTCGCGCAAAAGCATGCACATAGAGAACTGTGTAACTAATAGATATTTCCGACAGGTGTATGATTTTCAATTTTATTTTGTCCTACATTACTTCTATGTTATGACTATAAAATATAATTGTGTAATAATGCATTATAAAGATTATAAACAAAAATTACAATAACTGAAGTCTAAAGTAGATATTAAAAATATAATTTTCATTTTAACAGTGTTATATCGAGCACTCGTCAATTTGTCGATACTGTTAAACAAATTCAGGACAGGTAGATAAAAAGTTTTTTATTATAATATTTGTAAGATATAATTAGAATATCAATTAAATAAAAGCGCATGTAAGGCTTTTTTAGTGCTTTGTAGGCGCTAGGTGCTACTTTATTAGAAATGGGATCGATAAGTCAGACTGCTACTATGACGCAGCGAATTAATGGACTGCATTGTGCATAATTTATATTCCAAAATTCACAAGTGCTGAAAATCTATAGTGTTATGTAAACTGTAGATTTTTAGCGCTGGCAATGAATTTTTTTAGAACACAGCCTAGAAGCACTAATACATGAGGACTATTTAAAATGGACATGTTTACTTTCAAGCTTCTCTCTAATAGAAATTAGTGCATATACCTGCTACCAATAGTAGATAACGAATATTGTGTAATAATATTGCGACATACAATTATATTTTATTTAATTAACAGACATACTACTGATAATAGAAAAAATTTTATATTTCTCTTCTAGAAAAATTAATTGTCTAATATCATTTTTCTTATTATCAATTTTTTTGTTCAGTATTAAATTAAAAATTGATAATTTTTTTTTTATAATAATTTTTAATATTTCAAAATATAAGATGTATTTGGGTACAATTAAACATTAACTAGATAGTTCAGTATGCATTTTTCAAAATTAGTTTATATAACATCTTTAAAACGTATTATATTTTTTAAATATCTTACATCCCGATTTTGGACATATGTACATCTTATTTACATTTAATTTTAATTAATATTAATAGAATTCTAATATGATGTGTGTATAAAAATAATAATTTTCTTCAATTTGTTACTATATATATTAGTTGCATATATTAGTATTGCATAGACTTTATTACGCAGACAGTAATTAATTTTTAATAGCTGTTTTAAATTTATAATGACCTATTATTATTAAAAATGTCCAAAGTTGAGTCTTGATTATGCAAGAGAATTTTTAATGAAAATTTGATTAATAAAGTACATATAAACTCAGTCCAATAGTAATTATTATATAAATCTAATTTACGAACCGATTCTGTAACTCTTAATGACAGTCGTTGATGTCGTTGCGTAGATATTATATAGAATAAAAAAGCTGCGCAATGACATCAACAACTGTCGTTAAAAGTTACAGAATTGGCCTCTTAATAACAATCGATAACAGATAAAATAGTAGTAATACAAAATTATGTAATACAGAAAACATGTAATTAATGAAGTCAAAATGTGATAATAGCGTCATTCTCTATAATAATCGGCTAAATATTAAAGAGAAATTTGTTTCTGCGAAATATTCGCAAGTACATACATCAGCTGGTTAACGGTAAAAAATACCGGCTGTTAAAACTCGTCGGATAAGCGGGCAATCTGCCGAATCGCAGTATAACCGAATTCTTGCTCAAAACAAGAACAGCCTAATCGCGCGTACCTCTCCTGAGAATGGGCGAAATAGACGGTGCTAATTTTCAATGGTGAAAGTACACGAATAGTGAAAGTCTAGCAAGACGCAACTTAAAGCAGCCACCGAGTTTATATGTAATCGCGGCCGCGTTCCGTATAAATAACTCATATGCATTGTGTACAAGATACATCATCCGTAGATCGAGTTTTTTTTGCCACAATTCATTCCGTGCGTTAATGATAAGAAATCGATACTGAACCCGAAAAAGCGCGCAATTTTATTACACGACTAGAACGTGAAATGTATATTAAACAATTAAACTTTAATTATATAACACTACACAAAAGATTGGAATCGATCGTGTTACAAAAATAAAATATATTAAGCATTAATAGCAATTTTCTTTTATAACACTCATTTGTTAAATTGGTACGTTTTGATCTTGATAACAAGTATCTGCAAATTAAATTCGAATCACGTATTAAATTCTACGAACCGTAACAAATTGTACTCTACTAACGCCGTAGTACGCGTGATAATTTTACTTTTCCTGGATTTCTTAAAAGGAAATTTATTCTCGCGAATTTATAGTGAAATTTTAGCATTTAAAACAATACAGGAAAAGAATGAACAAAAAATCTAACATAAGAATTAGGTAGTAAAAGAAAAATTACACAAAATAAACAAAATAATTTCTTAGATAAAAATAAATCTTTATGACATAAAGAATAGTAGAATAACATCATCAAATTTAATTTACAATTCTTAATAATTTCTATCAACAAAAAAAGAAATAAACGGCGTCTTTAATTTTAATTTATTTTTGAAAGTACACATTTGTCTTTGTACTTTATAAAAAGTATATCTATCGTCTCTAGTGAAAAATTAAAATTACAAAAATAATTCTAATATTGAAATATATGTCTATGCTACAGAGTAACAAACAGAAAGAACAAATAAATGAAGAGAAAACCTTGAATAACAACAAAACACAAAGAAAAGTATAATGATTTAAGTAAC